GATGACAGCCTTAGTTCCAAGATATAAACATCATAGCTGCAAAGTGCAATTTTCTACCTACTCTATAGCCCTCTGCAGAATTTTCTTTTCAAACAATATTGCAAAACACACAGTTCAAACACTTGTAATGATAGCATTGCATAGAGGACCAAAGGAATTCTTAAAGAAGATAATTTTATTAACGCTTGCAGTGGGGCTATCCCACACTGCAAGGGTTAAAGTGCTTGTTTGTATCTAGGGGCACAAAAAAAAAAAAAGAAGATGTACTCACCCGACCATCCGAGCAGGCTCCCTGCTTCTGTGATCACTGAAGTGTCTCCCCTCCTCACTGCACAGATGGCATGCTCCCATCATCCTCAAGTCTATACACAGTCTATGCACAGTGTATAGAGCGTGATGACACCAGGATCCTTAGACCGCTGCAGCAGAGGGGGGAAGAGACGTTCTAGACGGCTCAGATAGTCCCGTGAGTATAATTTTGTTTTGTTTTTTATCACCCAGGCACATTGCAAGGGTTAATACATATTAAACCTTAGTTGTTTATATATTTTTTTATCTGATCACAATGCTAGCAAGCCATAAAAACTTGAATATGGAAGCCAATGCAGGGCTGTGAAACAAGGCACATGTTTCTCTGATATGTGAGATGATCATGGCTCTATAATCTGCATGGTTTATGCTGCTACATAGGTATGAATAACTTATGTAGAAGTATCCACTCCAAATGTTTCTATATGCCATTTGTCACCTTCCCCACCATCTCGAATAAAAGAATGAGCACTGCCAAAAAATGGAAGTCAAACGAAGCCTCATGTAGCACTGAATATCTACTGTGTCTAACTTCTACGAAAGGTCAAGTTCTGCTTACAAGGACAGAAAGGTACATTCCATTTAATGGAAGCCAAAGTTTAAAAAAAAAAGCAGTCACAGATTGATTGTGTGTGTGTGGCAAAGCTGTTCTAGCTTGCAGTTAAGAGATCTTGGTAAACAGTCTTAGAAATTAATTACAGCCACGAGTGTAAGAAGAGTAAACACCATTGCTCAGGCATGTTAAATTCTTCCCACATGCATACAGATGGTATGTAGACTGGGGCCTTGTGAAACACAATGTCTTGCTTGCTTTTAATAGTTCCCTACGAGAACAAACAAAAGCCCCGTCGAAAGGGGAAAAGTCTGTACCTGTTACCAGCGTAGGATAGGCAGGCAGAAAATCAAAACGAAGTAAAATGATAAACTGCTACGGAATTGTAGGAGCAGGAAGAAGAGCCAATATGACCTGAAAAAGCAGATACTAAACATGAAATCCTTTCAACAAGGAAAGCTCCGATGAGTCACATAACTATGACAGCTTCAGTGTGAAGCTGACAGAGCACCCACATGTACAATAGTTTAAAAAGAAACTAAGGAGGTAAGAAGACATAGAAGACAACTAACCTAAAACAGAATGCTAAGTAACATGTTACTAATGAAGGGAATATATAATAGATTGTGGTCGATTTGTAAGTTGAAATGGTTGTTTTAGATCGGCTTTTACTATAGGTTTACAATCCTTTTTTAACAAATAAGCATTACATGACAAAGGATGTCCAGAGCACTTCAACTCAGCTAAAGGGACAGCACAGTCTGTGGCTTTGTCTGTACAAAATTGGCATGAGCCATCTGAGTCAATAAGTCATTTGGTTGTGTTTCAATTGACGTTTGAGCTACAAAGCCCACAAACAACAAGCCTTTTACAACAGATTTCTAAGCAATCACTGCAACAAATGAAAAAGGAAACTCCCTCTGCCACTGCTGACCTCTCCTTATGAAAAAGCTAATTGGCTGTCATTTATATCTAGTAGCTTCAATACTTCCAAGTCAGTGACTAGAAAAAAATATGCAGATCAAGAGTTCTCTAATCTTCTTACTTGTTCTTACTATTTAAGTCACTGGCCTGAAAAGGGTTTCTATTAAGTCGGAGACAACCAAGCAACTAGCATTCCTAGATAGAGGTCAGCATAAGCAGCCCCACTATTTCTCATAGTACAGGATTCTGTAAAGAACCAAATAGACCACATGGACATTTTCCATCACAAAAATTAAACATTCGACGCATAAGCCAAAATACAAAATGTTCTTGTACATGGGAAGCTGAGCCTAAACAAAGTAAATTCTGGTCTACTTGGATGTATGCAAGTACCGGAGTATATGATCTTTAGCTATTGCCACACACAGCTCAGTGCCTTTATCTTCAGGTCCACAGCTGTAAGAATTCTATGAAGCTGTAACCAGCATAGTATGAAGAAAGCATATGAAACAAGGGTTTTAGTTTCCTGTCCCAGCTTAAAATTGAACCTGTGCCCATAACTATAACTATGCAGCATCTACACTGTGTGCAAAATTATTAGGCAAGTTGTATTTTTGAGGATTCATTTCATTATTAAACAGTGCTCTCCGTCAATCCAAAATGTTAATAAACCTCAGACCTGAATATTTAAGAAAGTAAAAGTGAGGTTTTGGCTTTCTTAGGAGAACATCTTTGTGTGCAGAATTATTATGCAACTAAATGGAAAATTAAAATGTTTCCATCTCACTTGTTTATTTCCATCTGTTAAAGTGAGAATAATAAACAAACTCAAAATTTAAATAAACATTTCTGACATTTTCAAATACAAAATCAGTGACCAATACAGCCCACCTTCTTTTCAATAACAGTCCTAAGCCTTCCATCCATGGAGTCTGTCAGTTTCTTCATCTGCTGACAATCAACTTTTTGTGAAGCAGCAACCACAGCCTCCCAGACACTGTTCAGAGAGGTGTACCGTTTTCCTTCACTGTAAATCTCTCATTTAAGAAGGGCCCACAAGTTCTCAATAGGGTTTAGGTCAGGTGAGGAATGGGGCCATGTCATTATTCTTTCATCTGTAAGGCCTTTACTGGCTAGCCATGCAGTGGAGTAATTTGATGCATGCGATGGAGCATTGTCCTGCATAAATATCATGGTCTTCTTGAGAGATGAAGACTTTTTCCTGTACCGCTGCTTGAAGAAAGTGTTTTCTAAAACTGGCAGTAGGTTTGGGAGTTGATTTGGAGTCCATCTTCAACCTGAAAAGGTCCAACTAGCTCATCTTTAATAATTCCAGCCCATACAAAGAACCCCACCTCCACCGTGCTGGTGTCTGAGTCGAAGTGGAGCTCTGTGCCCGTTACTGATCCAGCCATGGGCCCATCCATCTGGTCCGTCAAGAGTCACTCTCAACTCAGCAGTCCTTAAAACCTTTGAAAAATCTGTCTTTAGATATTCCTTGGCCAAGTCTTGACATTTCAACTAATGTGTCTGGTTCAGTGGTGGTCGGGTTTCAGCCTTCCTTACCTTGGCCATGTCTCTGAGCACTGGGCACCCCAGGTAGGTTGCAGTTCTGGAATATGACAGCACTGGAGGATAATGGGCTCCTGGTAGCTTCACGTTTGATTCTTCTCAAATCTTTACCAGTCAATTTGCGTCTTTTCTCAACACGTTTCTTGCGACCCTGGTAACTATTTGCAACAAAACGTTTCATGGTTCTATGATCATGCTCCAATATCTTAGCAATTTCAAGAATGCTACATCCCTCTGAAAGAGTTTTTACAATTTTTGACTTTTCAGAGTCAGTGAAATTTCTTTTTTGGCCTATTTTGCCTGAGGAAAAGAAGCTGCCTAATTATTATGCACACCTTGATATAGGGTGTTGATCTTCTAAGGCCACACCCTCCCTCATTACACAAATACACATCACCTGATATGCTTAAATCCAATAAGCCTTCAAGCTTACACAGCCTGGAGTTGGACAATATGCATAAAAATGGTGATTGGGTCAAAATACTCACCTAATAATTGTGCACACAGTGTAAAGGTCTCTTTTTTTTCTTTTTACTTGCTGCTGATCGGCAACTTATTCTCTCATAGTGCAATGATATTTGTCCCTGCTCAGTCCCAGTTCAGTCTCAGTTCCAAAAAGAAAAATGACACCAACAGAGCTCCCATCTCCAGCAGGTTGTCCTTAGCTCTGCATGAACTAGCGTGAATAACAATCGTAATACAGTGTTAAATATTTTGCAGATTACCTGCAGTATTTTTTAGCTGTAGACAAAGATCTAGATCCCCACTACATGCTATGGATCAGACGTAAGGAATGCTCTGCGTATTTAGCAACACTAAAACCTTTTGTAGTGTTCTTTTGATCAAGTACATATCCCATTATGATTATTTTAAATTTATACTGTATTAATCAGCACTCCTAGCTGTCAAAACATTTGTCAAAATTGCTGTCTTTGCCCAAGAAAACACAACGAATTTAGGAAATGTAGTGTTAGCACAGAGTACAGAATAAGTAGAGAGTGCCCATGTCAAACTAGGCATCTCCACGTGCTAGAGCTAGCACTCAACTGCTGAATGATGCACTGTGAAGTGGAGAAAGTTCAGTGTTTACGGAAGAATTCCAGGAGGCACATATTTACACAACAACCAGTAAGGGAACGCAATGTCAAGCACAGAACAGGAGGCAATCTATTTTAGCCTCTTTTTTTCGGTTTTGTATGATTGGTGATGGCTTAACTCCGATATTGATCCCATAGTGACACCAGGAAGTTAACCCTTTATGTCTTCCCTTTACTAATTAACTGAAAAAACACAAGTCTTTAAATATACAAGTGATGGTAGGTTACATTGGTATGCAGTCCAGGCATCAACTGCCTCAAGGACCAAACATTTTCCAGGTGCTCTGTACATAGAATGCATTAGCAGCTCATTTCAGCTATACCACAACCTATTCTAGATATATGTTAATATACAGCCTACTGTGAACAAAATTAGTTAACAAGCACTGTACTGTGTGAAAAAACTGAATTATACAAGAAATTCATATTGCCTTTGTTGGTATAATTTCATTTCATCTTATAGCTCCAGGTAAACCAGAAACAAAAGTGAAGGTAGAAAACAAAAGTAATGCAAATATGTTTAAAAGAAAAATGGGCCAGTTTACCATAAACATTTCCATTGATATTTTCTGTATTATCCATATCAAAGCTTGCTGTCAGGACGACAAATTGTAAAAATGCTGCTCATTAAGTCCAATTTTACAAGCAACCTGCAAGACAAAAAAAAAGGACAAGAATTACATCTAAGAAAGGCATTTGTCAAGTAAAAAGAAAACATCCAGCAAAGAGTCTCAAGCTAGGTTTACCATGAGCCTAGGCAAATGTCTAAAAATAAATCTGGAAGAAAAATAAAAGGCCTGCATCATTTCTGTAATGATTGAGTCTGGAAGCTGTACACATGACAGTAATGGCAAGACATAAATCACATAATGTGCTTACTGTTCTCAGTACCATATTATAAGCAACTATTGCCCATCAGGAGACATTACACTCATCCTCAGCAAACTTTTCTCCCCAGTCATACCAGATACCATCATTTACCATAGTTCTGCAGAAAGAAAAAAGTACAATTTTACAGCTGACCAGCCCTATTTGAACTATATATTGTTTCTTAGAAGAAATCCCTAGTGGACTGCATATAGAAATCAGATCCCATTTAAAGTTCACCTGTAATAAAAGAAATATAAAGGCTGCAATTACTGGACTTTTTCAGAAAATGACAGTTGCCTGGCTTCAATACTTCTAAAGTCCCAAGTAGCTGGTTTGGAACAGACATTAAAGTAGTATTAAACACTCGTCTTTGTTTTTGCTTATGTCTACTACTAGCAAGCAGTAGATATATGAAAAAACAACAAAAAATAAAAAAAAGTTAGCAAATAGGTAACAACTTACCTGTGTCTCGCTCCCGTCTGAAGATCTAAAGATTCTCGATCGGCTGTGAAGGATCTTGGGGCGGGCGCATGCACAGTAGAGATCTTTGGCCAGGAAGAGAGGAGAGACACAGTGTAAGTCAATGCACGCAGCTGGCAGCGTGTACGCGGACCCATACTGTGGGACACAGAAGACACAGCAGTCAGCGCTGGATCAGAGACTGGCACCAGCGCTGGAGGGACTCATGAAAACTACTGGAAAGAAGATGATTGGATCAAGAGGCATCATTTAAGGTAAGTCTTTAAAGCAGCATGAGGGAGGGGGGGGGGATGTGACAAAATGTCACTTTAAAAAACGGTCAAAGTGAAAATGCCTTATTGTTACACTTGTTCCAGGAATCAAAGCATGGTAGCCAAAGTATAAGTCAGGAAACTAGCGTTTTTAGAGGTGGAGGTCAGGGATGACAGGCCACAAAGTGTACTTTAATATTTTAAAAATTTGGGGAAGAGGATAAACACACAGAAATTAGTCTGGTGGTCACCTTATGACTTATATGACACTGTTTATTTGCCCAGAGGGTTAAATGGCCACGAGGCAAGGAGCAAAAGCATGCAACACTGGTGTTGTTTCATAATGCTAATTCTCTATTTTTTAATTTTTTTTACCAATGACCTGGAAACCCATTAGTAAGAAACAGATGGCTAAAGGCAAGTCTGTGAGTGTCTCAGTTATGCAGTTTTTGTTAAGGTGCCCATGATCAATTACATCTAAATCAGTCAGAAATTGAGCTGGGCATGATCATTGGGTATAACCATTATCATTACAACAACTACACAGAGCAGCACCTACCTGACTGGCCAAAATTTGAATTATTATTAATTGGGGTTTTTTTTTTTAGGTATGCCTTAGCATAAAAATTTTAGTGACATTCTTAAGGAGATTGTGCAATCAGATTGTAATGTGTGTGGACAGCTTTAGTGTTTTTAGCAGCACTGAAAAAAGAAACCAATGTTTTTAGCAATGATGCGTGGCCTCTTACTTATAGATCATAGATACACATCTCTGGTCAGACAGTAATTTTACACAAATTAGCTAGGGCATTGATTGGTAACATGCAGTTTCTGAATCACATGTTGCTCTACGATGCCTTTCATACTGCTGACAGAAGACTCAGGGAGTACTTAGTACAAGTCTGGTGGAAGACTAGTTACATCAAAAACCAAAACACTTCTATAAACATTATACCACAATAGTTCACATCATTTCATGAAAATGTAGTGTTTTTGTAACAAAGTATTATTTCTATTGTTGCAGTTGGAAAAAAAAAATATATTAACAGGCTTGTTACTACAGCTCTCCATCACTTGGTCTAGTAGTACAGTAAACGCTCGGTTATCTGGTATTCAACTTACCAGAAACAAAAAAAAAATCCCATGTATACTCACTGTTCTGCGGCATGTATTATCCTGGAAATGATTGTGCCTCTATTTGTCTTAATTTGCTTTCGATTACTGCATTTCAATATTAATATGAAGTCGATACAGAGTTTATGTTATGATACGGTATAGTATGGGGTATGGCATTAGTTAGACCTATTTTTAATAGTAACTCTGAAGCAACCAGAAACGATATTTATCCGGAATCTACCAATCTCTGTGGATGCCGGATAACGGGGAGTTTATTGTATATGATTTATAAAGTAAGCATACAGGCTATTCAGGACTAGAAATTGTGAGTCACCACATACTGTTATAAGCCAACCAGAAAAAAGGAGCCTAAACTACAGTACAGCAAGAAAATTATTGAATTTTTGAAATCACTGTAAAAACCCTTCTCTTGAAGGAAGTTGAGGGGCACGAGTTACAGAGTAATTTGGACACTGGCATACAGCCTGGTATAACCCTTCTCACTCACAGTATGCCTCAGTTTTGTAAAAAGTAGTGCCGAGAGCAGGAGCATAAAACACAGGAGGAGGGGTGGAACCTCAATGAACCTGCAAGAAGATGATTTCATGGCGAGTATGAAAATCCTGCTTGGTTTTTTTCCTCATTCAATGAGGGACACAAGATTAACAGACAACTGGGATATCCAAAAGCAATCCAACTTAGGGGCGGGCAACACCACTAACAAAATTCTAACACCCCAACTATAATAATAGAAAAACAAACTTTAGCATAAAGAGGTGCCTGCGGGACTTACACCCAAAGCTAGCATCAGATGAGGCCTGAACATCCACCTGGCAAACTTTTGTGAATGTGCGAACAGAAAACCAGGTAACAGCATTGCAAATCTGGGAAACAGTTGCCAGATGCCGAAAAGGCCAAGAAGCACTCACAGATCTAGTAGTGTGTGCTTTGACAGAAAAGAGTGGAACCCATCCTACAGGATGTCTGGGAGGAGCTTGTGCATGGGAACAGTTTGCTTAGGGCCTCTTAGAAATCCTAGACTTTTAGCAGCACTGGTGGAAGCTACAGGCTGCTCCCCCATTTTTATGTTGGTACACAAAGCATCAATAGGAAAACCAACTGAAGGCTCAGAGGCCACTAAGGCTGCCGCCAGGTCGGATAATTATTCTGCAAGGGAAGGCATCGGGGATTGTTTTTTCTTCAATTGTAGAAAAAGAAAAAATAGCTAGTAGAGACAAGTTAACTTTTCTTAATAGCAGAAAGACATGCATCCGCCTAGGGCTCTAGCAAAAAAAAAAAGAGGCATTCTGGGAGTGGGCGGGGTTATACCAGGTCACTTTTTTTTACGTGTCCAAATTCTCCTGTAGGTGGCAGTATAACTCAATTGTCTCTAAATCTCATGTCCCTCAACGAGAAAGAAAAACAAGTTTCTTTCTACCCTCTTAAGTTGTGCTTTAGCCTCTTACCAGACAAAACTTTGTCAGGCAGTAATTCCCTGGAATCTTTGCTTTATTTTGCTATTGTAGCCAAGCTTGGATAGATGCCAAACTATTAACCTGAAAGGGGACCAGCATGTCAGAGGTAAAATCCAGAGCCATTTATGTTGTCCAGACACAATGCTTTACCCACTTTTGGGTCGCGACCCACGAGTTGAGAACCACTGCTTTACACAGTGCAGTCTCTGCTGCCATGAATAGTAACAATGTCAGGACCTGGAATCCTGTTTATATGGGATTTGTAGGGATACAGGTAATATACCACACACTGCAACTCAAACAGTGCCAAGCAGGTGTGTCATTAATTCTTCACCACAGTACAGAGCCATTCCAATCCCTACCAGCCTCCTTACACTAAAGGCTGAAAAACTCTGCCAGAGTAATATTCTCACATAGCAGCAGAGACTTTTTATGTCTACTTTTATTACTTATTTTAGCATAGTAACTACTCGTTTCCAGTTATAGCCTTATGCCTCTTTCCCAAGGTCTGTTTCACAGTGACACCAAGTGGATTGCAAAATCAGTAACATGCTTTATTTCAGAATAAAGGGACTACAATATATATCTGCCATTACATCACAAGAGAAAATTATTTCAATGGACTGTAGAACCAGAACATTCAACATTCTTAAAGTATTCCGGAGTATTCCGGACATGGCAGAAATATGTGGGATGCCATTGATGGCCTCCAACTGAAAATCCTAGGCTTTCCATCTGCAATGTTATGAGTTGCAAAGGTGAGAGACATGCCCGTCTTAGGTGTTTTTCGAAGCACGCACAAAGCAAAGCCCTTTGTCTTTTTGCATACTGAAAATACACAACAGCATTCAACGTAAATCAAACATGCCAGTTAATTTATAAATCCCCCCACATATATTACATGTATTTATGCCAAAGCTGGACAAATTTCAGGAGCGAGGTCGCCAATGCTCCTTAAAAATGACAGCTTACCTTTTCTTACCTATTTAGTTTCTCTTGTTTCCAGATACTTCTTTTGCTGCAGCCAGTTGCCAATATAAGGGGCTGAGAGGGTCCAGAATGTGAACCATATTATAAGGAAGAGCCTGGCTTTTCAGGTTCTTCCAGGTTTTCCTAATGGTAACTGGGATCTGGAGCTCTGGAGATCTCTTAGAGCTCTGGGTAGGATGAGATCTCCAGTCCTCCAGATCCCAGCTACAATTAGAAAAACATGGAAGAACCTGAAAAGCCAGGCTCTTCCTTATAATATGGTTCACATTCTGGACCCTCTCAGCATTATGGTTGTTCCTTTTTCTCTACCTTTCTTAGTATGTACTTGTTGTCCATTTGGGTATTTTTATTTTGTTTTGTAAATTGTTAATAAAAAGAAATTTAAAAAAAATAAAAATCACAGCCGACAACTAACGTTTCTGGTTTTCTCTAGTTGTTGCCAATGGAGCTGGCTTCTAATAAAAAATC